TTGAATCTGGTTGCGTGTACTGGTAATAATGGGTTAAGAAAGTGTGCACACCGGCCGCCGAAATGCTTCCTGCGCTCGTCCGAGTCAAAGGATTTTTGCTATTCACTAATTCTTACCTAGCTGTCTACCTACCTAGTTTCTGCTGTCTGTGCTTCTATCTACGAACTGTTCAGCCTTCGCCGCGCTCGTCGATCTTGACCTGCAATGACTTTCTCGTTCCTATGTCGAGATCTGCCCTCTGCATCAGCAAGCTCGCAGTCCGGAGATCTGTCAAGGTCACGTGAAGGTTGTTTTAAGTTTTTGGTTGTTGTGTACTTTGATAATTCGTCTGATACTATTGTTTATCAGTACCAGATTAAGATAAATATTTTGCCCTTGACCTCAGTTATAAACTCGAGGACTGTAATGAATGTTCACCATATCTAACCGTGTCGCTCTCACTCCCTCTTTTTCCAGACGCCATCACGCAAGAGCAAATGGACGAGACAGAATTCGAAGAGCATGAACCACCCACTACGTAATCTCCCTGTGACCTCGACCCTCACTGACCTATATACATATGTGACCCGACTCCCCTATCTCTTTGACTTCCGGCTGTACATTACTGTGGACACGTGCGATAAACATTTTCCGCCTATACACAGACTTCTACCTACCACCATCTACGTACGGGCCTGCACGGTTGAAGCTAGTGAATTGTTGCTATTGGCTAACTCTTGATCCTCTCATTTCAGACAATCGACCCGCGGTTGATCTCTCTCCCTCTTTGGTAGCTACAGAACGTCGTATATATTGTTCCGTAATCATTTATCGTGTTTCTGTAGTTGAGCGACATTTTTATAGCACGGGCTACGTCTGTTACCCAGTAATCCCGTCAATAATCCACTTGAACAAAGTATGCAATATACCGTTTCGTAAAAGATATGTTAAGACTAGCATTTCCCGGATATATAATGCAAGAGAATCTCGGGAAATGACCGATTTAAAAAAAGGTTGAGGAGGGTAATAAAAGAACTAAGATTATTGAGAACAATCTAACTAAGTTAAAAAATCAGCTATCTTCTTTTGAAAACCTTGCGGCAAAACTAACCCCCTTACATATATAACCGATCCCACGACACTCACTGGTTCACAGAGTATAATTGTAGCCAGCCGATTTCTCGACTCAGTCCCTGCTGAGGTACTGAGACGCTTGCAAAATGCAAAGAATGCTGTGGTTTGCAACGTACCTGACCGCCTAAAGTTTTCTGAGGTGAAAATCAAAATCTTACAAAGCGCAAACATGTTCCATGTTCCATGTAATTGTTTTAGGCTGCGAAAAAGAAAGCAAAAATACGCTTGTCCCCTGCTTTTTCAATTTCAGGATGAAAAAGTAACTAAGGAATTCATCTGAAAACAGTCTGCTATAGGGAAGTCATTGGAGTTTAAATCAATATGGATTCAACCTGACAAGACTTCACTGCAAAGGGAGATCGCCGGATCATCTAATGATTATCCCTTGGAGTATATGAATTCAGAATGCTCATCTTTTACTCTCAGACTAAGAAACCCAATTCCCACTTTGTACCAACGTCAGTCACCAGTAATAAGAACACCGGTTACTACAGTTGACTCTCACCGGTGGATCCTTCTAGCGAATGCAGGCACCTTTAAGCCACACCCATTGAATCTCCTACGAATCATCGAAATATAAACCGGAATAATGTAAGTGACTGCTCACCGCGACAATTACTTATTACCCCCTTATCGGTGCCTATTGGTTCCCGACTGAATTCTAGAGAAGTCGCAACGTTATGCTTGACATCTCCAAGCTTTGAACGCAATACGGATACTCTTTCTAAATTGCGAGATAGCAACTCCTTAGTAACTCTTGGCCCATCACCGCAAAAACATTGTGATGCGTGACATTGATCTCGAAATTCCCTTTACACTTAAAATGCACTGAATATGCATAGTATATGATTCGAATACAGTTCGTGTGCTATTCTGTTTGAAGTTGTTCTATTTCGGGGATTGGTATTGTGCGAATTCCGGAATCCCATTTTGAATACTATTCCAAATACTACATTTGGCGTCGCGGCCGGTCTACTGAACAATGAATTCTACTCCATTAGAATCCCTTGATGTTAACTGCAGTGCACGCGATATCGAGGATTATTTTGAGCGTTTCGAGATTTAGTGGTTGACCCGTTCAAAGCGTGATAAGGAAAATAAATCCGCTTTCTTTTTGAATGCTACCGGTAAAAACGATTACACACTAATCAAAAACTTGACCTATTCTTTTTCACTTGTTTCTGTACCGTACGTTGATTTAAAATCCCTCCTCCTACAGCATGTGAAGCCAACGAACTTTGAAGCCTCAGAGAGAGCAAACTTTCATTCAATGGTACGCAATCCGAATCAGGGCGTCCGTGAATTCATCCTGGATTTGCTCACTCAAGCTGCAAAGTGTGATTTTGGAGATTTATTAAACACGCAAATGAAAGATTGGCTGATCGCTGGTAATAACAATACCGTTTTGCAAAATGAATTTCTGAAACTACCCAATCCAACGTTCAAAGATGTGCGGGCTTATTGTGAACAATATCAGAAAATTTGGGCCGCTACTTCATCTTTACCGTTCACCATTGAGTCCACAGCCATGTTCAATTCATTTACGACTAAATCCATGAAAGCTCATGCTACAGCCGGACGTTTCAAACCGGTTACACAATCCAACTCACACAATGTGACATTCGGATAAATCCTATGGCAATTGTGCATCCTGTGGCAAACGTCATAACAAATTCACATGCCGATTTCTTTACGCTTCATGTGATAAGTGTGGCAACACTGGCCATATTCAGTCTGTCGCAGTACCAAAACCTGTCGTTTATTTCAAACCGGGGACTCAAGTGAGTAATATGGACAAACATTTTTCTTCTTTATCTTTGGGAATTACCTCCCATTCCGGTCACATCCGTAAACGACTATTCAGTTCCACTGGTAACTCGCTTCATTTCATTTTGGACACTGGAATCTATAATTTCTGTTCACGATCTAAAAATATTTTTTCCAGATGCTAAACTCCAGCCGTCCATTGTCACCATAAATGGTATCACTGGACACTCACTGCCTGTTGTTGGTTCTTGTGAGATTTCAGTCAGTGACGAACATTATAAAAGTGTTACCTGTACATTCATTGGCCCATCCATACTAGGCTTGAAAGCCATGCATGCATTAAATGTCAATCTTTTCTTGCTAACCTCTATCGATACTAAAAATGAATTGAAGGATTTGATTATTAAATGTTCAAAGGCCAGTGGTGGTATGAAAATTCCCCCAGCAAGGCTACCAGTTAATGACGATCCAGTATTTCTCAAACGCCGAGTCATTCCATATGGCCTTTGTGAATCTGTCACTAATGTATTGAGCAACCTGTGTTCCAAAGGTGTTATAGAGAAGGTGTCGTCTTCTGTATGGGGTACACCAACTACCACACCACTCAAGTCCGATGGCAAGACCCCCAGAATATGTGGTGACTACCGAATCACCTTAAATCCAAGACTGTTAAAGCGGACATATACAACGGTTGAACCAGAGGACATCCTGAACAAGCTGACTGGTTCTAAAATCTTTTCCAAGATTGACTTAAAAGATGCATATTTACAAATTCCGTTGGATGAAACCTCATCCAATTTGATAACTATTAATACCCCTTTTGGTTTCTACAAGTTTCTGCCATTGGGTTTATCCGTTTCTCCTGTCATATTTCAACAAGTTATGAATGATATTATTATTGGTATGTCTGGTGTTGAAGTATATCAAGATGACATTATTGTTCATGCTCCTTACAAGTCCACTCATGACGCACGATTGCTTGAACTCTTTCGTAGATTTTCTGATAAAAATTTTGCTGTCAATCCTAAGAAGTGTTTATTTTCTGTCTCTCATTTTGAATGTCTTGGATACTTAGTTAAAGGTAAAAAGTACAAACCTGACCCGAACTGTCTTTTTTTTAACAAAAGCCAGATTACCGTCTAACATACACGAACTCAGATAATTGATTGGAGCCCTACAGTATTTCTCTC